ATATATATATATATATATAGTATCTTAATATTACAGAACATTGTTATATCAAAGGATCAAAGGAGTGGTATTTATAGTGCTTATAACTTAAAAGAAAGTCATATACATGTATGTGTGTGTGGGTATATATATACTCACACACACATATATATCATATGATTTCTTATTCTGAGTACTCTGGGATACAGACTTATAAGTCTGCAAATGTGCTGGTCTATTGGAGCAGCCAAAGCTTCTCACAGACCTTGTTGGGATACTTCGAAATGGTTCTTTACTACTCCTTCAAATCAAGTTAGTTAGTATCAGGAGTCTTCCAAATTCTTTGCAGTGTTCTGGGGATCGGGCTTGGGTAGAAAGAAGGAAAAAGACCTCGGAAAACAAAGGTAGGTTCTTTAGAAGCAAAATCTGTTGAGAGACTAGTGGACCCAGGGCAAACCCATTTGAGATAAATCATCATTGGGAGTTGCCAACCTCCCATCTGTCCAAGATATTTATTTGGTGATACCAGCTTTGAAAGGACCACAAGTGGCCAACTTCAAAGGGGAAATAATCATGATGTGATCCTTAGGGCATGTCTACACAGGGGTAGCAGGTTGGGGCTTTGTCTCCCTGATGACATTAGTCATGGGAGGAATGTGAGGACTGCCTGAATCAGACCTTCTATTGTGCTTTTGGCATTTCTTCTCATCCTTTCAAATTCCCCATTGGGAGGCACTCCCAGATAACAGGGTAATTTCACGGATTAATCTAATTCTACAGGAATCTCTATGCCTTAAACAACCAGAGCAGATTGCTAATCTTACAGAGGCATTATTTTTCAGAGGTCAAATAATTAGTTTACAAGATTAAGTTGGTCAGAGAATTAATTACTTAAGCTAATATTAGGTAAATTTTCTTTTTTTTTTTTTTAAAAAAAGAACTTGAACTTGGTTTAACAGATTAACACATATTGTAAGAATGACTCCTGTTTCCACAAAGACAGATTGCTTTAGAGAATAAATTAAGAACTTTATGCCATGAGTCAATTCCTTCAGAATACTAAACAATTATTATGGTTTCAGTTTCTTCCCATTGTCCCTGCTGATAAAGCTCTGATAGAGAATCATGAACTTTGGTTATCATAAAGTTTTACTGTGTTTAAAAGTATATATGGTATTTGCAAACAAATCTGAAACTTTATGTAATATCTCTCAACACGATAGAACATTATTATATCAAAGGAGGGTTATATTTAGTGCTTATAACCTAAAAGAAAGTCCCAGAAAAAATTAGAGATTATTCCATTTAACACCCTTGTAAGTACTCCCCCAAAATGCAAGTCTGGCTGGATAGTAATTAAGTCCCCTTAAAGACTCTTCCAATGTTTTTGGTTATATAATTTCCTTCTCTATTCAAGTAGTTGTCTTTGACAAGATGATTTTCTTTGCATCTTCTTATCCACATATGGTTTTGTGTAATTGTCTTTTATTTGTCAGTTATGTCCTCAAGGACAAAGATTAAGTTTTTTTACCTGGCAGACAATTTAGAATTAAATTATACACTGCACACACAATACATTTTTCAGGACAAATACCAATGAAATCAATAGAAGCCTGTGAAATAAAACCTCCCAAGCCTTAGAAAATGTATCTTGATATTTTTCCAGCTACTAAGTTAATGTTGGACACAGCAATACACCCTGCAGCTATCTTGGGCTTATCAGCAGCAGTCTCAAAACGAATTTGTCTTTGAATTAACTGGATACTGAGTTTATGCTTTAAAAACATTTTCAAATCCATTGGATGAGCATTAAATGCTTTCAATGATTTGCCAAAAAGGCTAAAACCAAACAGTCTTGCTCTATGATACAGAATTGTGGTTTTTTCCTTCTTTTTTAGGGCTGGGGATTGAACCCAGAGCCTGGCGCATGCAAGACAAGCACTCTACCAACTGAGCTATATCCCCAGCCCCTCTATGATACAGTTTTAGAGAAATAGCCCTGTTTCTTTTCCCTTTCTTTCAGGGATACCTCAGGGTTCACCATTTATATTCAGCCTGGGGTGTTAAGTATTTCTCGTGTGGCACATTTATAAAACCTTGCAAGATGGACCAGCTATAGATCTGATGCTTCAGCTAAAAATCATTAGGCCTTTTTTTTGAAATCATAGGTACTACTATTTCTAAAGTTCTAACGGTTCATATATCCAAGTCTAAACTCTGGAAATTAGCTCACACCTGAAAACAGAGAGTGTGTTTGCAGATTTTGGCTATGTTACTTCTCCAATGGAGATTTAATTTCATTCTGTTACAACAGTACATGAAGAGAAAGTTTAATAAGTGAAATTACCTATCCATGAAATCAGTATTGATTTCAAATCAAGGCCACGGTGTTAATTCTCTTCCCTCCCATATTTCCTTTCTTCTTTATTTTCATTACAGCTGTTCTGAGTAAATCAGCAGTATTATTATTATTATTATCATCATCATCATTATTATTATTAGTTTTGAACAAAGGAGCACCCTCTCACTGAGTTATATCTCCAGCCCTTTTAAAATTTTTTATTTTGAGACGTAGTCTGTCTCATTTGCTTATTGGCAAAACATCATTAATGTGATTAAATACCCATCATTGAAAAAGACAGATAAGACCCCTGTTTTCTTGAATAATATCACCAACTATGGGAATATAGACAATGAACATTAAAAAATTCACATATAAGATGGCTTCAAATGGGAACAAGTGTATGAAAAAAATAGAGTAATGATTCTTTAAGTAACTGTAGGAGGAGTGTCCTACTTTATATAGGGTGGTCAGAAAAGAGCTTTCTGCAGAAGAGAGAGTCGAGGTGGGGGATGAGATGGAAGAGATGATGGAAGTATATGGAGATAGGGAGGGAGGGAGAGAAGGAGAGGAGGAGGAGAAGAGGAGGAAAAAGGGGATGAGGAGGAGGAGAACTGGGAAATTGGTATTGCAGGTGGAGTAAGGAGTGATACAATGATAACAAGATGAGAATGAATGAATTTGGTCAATAAGAAGATCAGAAAAAAGGCTAGGGATGTGAAGGACGACACATGGGAGGAAGAGGGAGTGAAGGCTCCTGCAAAGTAAGGCTGGAGCCAAATGGGAGCCAGAGAATAGTCTGCTTTGGAGTTCATGGTCAAGTGGTAAACGTCACTCTTTGTGCAATGGAGACCACTAGCAGCATGTGAGAAAATTATTGAGTTATTTTTTCATAAACTTTTAGATTTCTCAAAACACACTGGCAATGAAAGATATTTTTGTAGTGTTTTAAAAAATTCATTATGATTTACATTATATTTATAATTTTGAATAAGTAAAAACATATTTAAGTTTTCCAATTTCTTTCTTAGATACCCCATCCAACAGCTAAGAAATACAGGAGTTCCGAATTGCAGTTGCCAGCTCCAGTGTCCTGATTTTGCCGATGAGGAAACTGAACTCTAGGGATACTGTAAGTCCAAGTCAATCCTGCATTGGTAAATCCGAGCCCAGAGCCTGGCTCTCTCACACTCTGCCCTGGTCTCTCCCACATTCCATTTTGTTTTCCTTCCATACATAACATTTTAAATTAATGCCCTCATGGGTATCATGTGTACTCTTCTCAACTCTTGCAGTCTGGTTTTTGTTTCTGCAGGAACATTGTTTTTGAAGAGCTCCAATGACTGAAACAATCAATTGGAAACAAAGAAACAAACAAACAAGAAAACCTTTGAAGCTCTCTTGTCCAGTTCTTTAAATTTTTATTTAACAATTTTTAGAGATCTGTTGTATGTTTGTACTACGTGCTGTATTTACTGTTGACTAGGAAGCAACCTATTTTATATAAGTGCAGCTATAATTTTTTAAATTGTAAAAAGTAAAATTTTGTCTTACTCTGAGTTCCCAGTTTTTTTTTTCCCTCCAGAACTAGACAGAATAAGTGGTGTCTGTTCCTAAAACAGCATTTCAAATATATGAAGAACTACATTGTGCTCATCTTTTTCCTTTTTTTTATGGGAGACATCCTCAGTTCCTTATTTGTGGAGTGGGTGGTGCTGGGGATGGAACCCTGGACCTTCACATGGTAGGCACACACTTTACCACTGAGCTACATACTCAGGCCATAGTTCATTCCATCATTTCTCACATGACACGTTTTCCAATCTTTATTAGTTCTGTTTATTCTTCTCTGAACACGATAGAATTCTGTCAATTATCTAATTAATTAATGGTTGGTGCCTGGAATGAAATACATGACTCTGTGTGTTCTCTGGCCAGGGTGGAAGAGAGAAGTGCTGCCCCATGTTCTGTGTACCCTCTTTCACTCAGTCTAAGGATCGAGTGCCTGTTTAGAACACAAACAGGCTATTCTTAATGGGATAG